ACCTAATTAATTTTAAGGTGCACCATGAAACTTCTCAGATGCATGTCTGAGGTGTTATTACTTTGCCTGGTATGTTCCACAGTATAACATTAAAAAGAACTTACTTTTATTAAATTATTGCTCTGAAATACAAGCAATCTTAGCGTGAGTGGTTCCTCCACAGATCTGACCATGGTATGTGTGTTTATGATTTAATGTGGGATCGAGCACAGGATGACACTGTGGACGAACTGGTGAAGGTGTTACCCTGTAATCTGCATGGCTGCAGATGGTGAGAGCAAATTACATCTGGAGATGTGGTGGTCAGATCTGGAATGCCTTTGTGGGCTCACCTCTCTCTCAGTGCCACCAGATTGCAAGAAGAGCTCCCAAATATGCACATATTCAAGCTAACATGTTTTGTTTTTATTACTACAACCTATGTTTAAGGATTTTTCTACTGCTAGTATTTTACTTAGACTTAGACAAACTTTATTGATCCACAAGGGAAATTATTTGGAGACAATAGCTCAGACACAATATATTATAATAACAAAGAGAAAAATATAAATGGTAGTAATACATTCTAAATAAGTAGGATAAATATCAAGAGACTGGTGGCATAATTATATAAATGTATATGTGCAAGTAACAATAAAATAAAATAAAATAAAATAAGTAATGAAAATATCTCAGCACCATACAAGAGGTTGGAATGAGAGCAGTGCAAAGATTATTGCATATATGTAAAGATGATATTGATGGTATTTTGTTTTTGTTTTGTTTTTTTACTCAGTGGTATTGGATGCATTATTTGTATCTAGTATATATGTTTTTAACTGCTATCTAATTGCATAGTAACATAGCAATAGTAGTAGCAGGAGTGATAAGAGCTGTGGTATTTTAACAGTTTTGTAAAATAGTATATAGTCTTAAGTTGTTGACTGCTATTATATGTATAATCATTGTGTCTCTATGATTAGACAGGAAAAGTGAAAGTACTCTTGGATCAGAGTGCAGAGGTTTTGGCTGAGGTGTAAACCCTGACCTACGTGTGCAGACCACTGTCTCTAATTAGTCATCACTAATTAAAGAGCAGTCACAGGCATTCCACTGTGGTACTATGGGCAAGCATTTGTTTACAAAGCAGTAATAAACATAAGATACACATGAAACAACGAGACCCACAAATGCACAGTGACACTACTAATTAGTGTGTAAATTTTCTATCAAAACGAATCATCAATCAATCAATCATCAAATTTATAACAGATATTCAGTTCACAATACTATAGTTAGATCTTCAATTTAAAGTTTGCTACATACAGAATAATAATCTATATGCTTGAGACTGGCACACACAGTTCACTGACAGATTTGGTATTTCTGCATAATGTTAATTAGGTCTGCCCAATATTTAATATTTCAATATTTCAGTCTGTCTTGGCAGTGGCCTATATGCTCATGTGATCTTCAAAAAGTCTTTCAGATTTAGCTATTATGATAATTGTGACATTAGGTGAAGTAGTATGATGGTGATATACCCTTTTCAAATTCATATGTGGAAAAGTGTGTTTGAGCATAGAGCTGTAGTAATCAGAGATGCACTCAATCATAGTATGACAATATTGTAATAATAGAATATAGATCATCAATCAGAACACACATAGATTTTAACACAATATCACCCATACTCCTAAGATTATTACTTTTGTTTGGATTATTTCTTTTTTGGGCCACATTTAGCTGCAACAAAGCCACAGCTATTCTTGCGGTCCACATCATAAATGAATTCATCAAAAATATAATCCATTACTATGAACAATCACAAATGAACCTTATTTTGTTCAAATCTACTAATATATTAAATTTTTTATTGGACAATAAAAAAGTTCATCTTACAGAAAAACAAACCTCTTTAACCACAACACTTTCATGGCTGACTGTGCTGATGGCTTTCCCAGCAGACGGCCGCCCTCCCTCCCCAGCAGGCACACAGACTGGAGCAGAGTTTGAGCTGTGCTGCTTTCTCCATCACAGCTCTGGAGCAGACAGGAGCAGCTCATGGAACTGCACACTCAATCTGCACACAGCACTTCACAAACACACACTCACAACCATTACTTGTCCTGTCTGTGTTTTAATGAGGTGTCACATTCATTTGACATTAAAGCAGTTAACAGAGGTGACGGATAAGGTCTGGACTCAAAATTATACTGAATATTAAGAAAACAGAATTAATTTCATTTACATCATTAAGTAAAGTATAAAGTAATCATATTGCATTGTGGGTGACTTGTCTGAACAAGTGTGCCCACTCCATTGTAATGTATATATTCACTTCTATATTTGTTTTATTGATTTATTTAATATAGACTGTGTGCCGTATATTTATGAACATCTGCAGGTAAAGTGTAATTACAACGGTACACCAGATTATAGCACAGTAACAGTAATAGCAACGGACTTGGAGAATAGCCTACAAGTTAAACAAATATTATGATCCAATTTTATGTTATTTGACAGTCTTCACATGGTGCTTTACAGCTGCCTGTCTAACTGCATTGTTCTCTTATAATGACCTTTTCACCTCTGCATGTTCCAGGCAGTCTGAAATCTTAGTATTTTCCTCACATCCTTTTGAAGTAACTCAAACTCAATTCAGGCTCCGAGCACAAACTATTGAAGGACTTAGTTTGTTATTAAAGACGGATTAAAAGAAAACACACAGTACGACTTTTCCACCCATATAAGACAAAGTTTACATCTTTGACCTGAAACATTTAAACATTTAGGCTTTCTAGAGAGTCGAAAGTTCTATTAAACTTAGTGATCCCAAAATGAAGTTGGAATACTATACACAGTTAAAACAAACCTAAATTGAATACAAACTGTCTCTAAAGGTCGAATGCTTTTTCCAGACTTTTCATTTACATTTTTAATTACATTTTTGTTGACTAGCTGTGACAGCGCATCAGCCACCAAAATATTATTATAAACTATATCAGTTATGCAGATTTAATTAATATCTGTGTCAGTGTGTGTGTGACTCTTTTTGCAATAGAGAATGTTTAAGCTTTTTTTTTTCATACAAACAAACAAACAAACAAACAAACTCAAAACAAAAAAAATCCTCAGGACACACCAAAATGACCAACTGCATTACATTCAGTCACTGTAAATTACTTAACTCAAATTGGGGGAAAAAAAAGTCCTAAAGTCCTTTTAGCCCCCAAAAGAGAACTGAAGAACTGAAGAAATGAAAAACAAGCATCATTACTGTGAGTGGGCTTGCATCTCCACAAAACTGACTTTTATTTGGCCTGGAATAGTACCAGCTCCTGCTTGTCTCCATGGAGATATTGTTTTGGCTAGAATATTCCACAGTATGGCATAAAACGTATCTATCCCCACAGAGACTGTTTTGAAGTGTGGTTTGAACGTTCTATTTCCATGGAATCATACAGGTGATGTGTCACCTCCAAGTTGCACTAGGTCTTTTAAATAAAAACTAAGAGCTAGTGGCATTGAAGATCATTTTCAGCCTGAAAGTTAACTTGGAATCTAATGATAAAAAGGGTGGGGTGAGTGCTTCTAGCTTTCAAACAGGCAACAGACTAATTAGTTTATTCAAATAAGCAAACGAAACAAAACACAACTGAAGTATGTGTAAATAATATTTAAAAATCAAATGCAAAAAGCTGCCTTCTGTAAATTACCATCATTAATTTTCCTCAGCCACTGCAGCTTCATAATGCAGCTTGACTACAGAGGCTCAAAGGTCAATTACAGTGTTTGGAAGTGCATTGTGGGAGGTGAGGGCTGCATCTGCTCTACAGCACGCCTCCATATTTGAGAGAGGCAGTTGGGAGAAATTGCAGCTGTAGCTCAGGTGGCCAGAGTCAACCCAGCAGACCGGATCATGCTCAGGGTCAAGATCTGTACACGCACTGCTGTTTGAAGGGTTATCTGGAAAAGGTTTACAAGAGCTTTTCAAAGGAAACCATCTTATCATCTCAAAGGACAAATTGAGTGAACGAACAAACACAGAAATTAGAACACACTTACTTGTTTATTTAAAACACACGAAGGGGTGCATTTTTACTGGGAGGACAGGGAAAAGCAACAAAATGGAAATTTCTTTCCAGTCATGTCAATCCCACTCAGCATGATGAAACAAGACCGCCCTCTAGTGGCCATCAGTACACCTGCTTTTATGGACCGTCTCCTGCTACTTTAATGTGACTCCATGGTTTCAATGGCAGATTGCGTATTTCTGTGATTTTATCATCAGCTTGTAATAAACTAAGGTTAAAGGTAGGGTATGTAACTTTCTGGAGGTAGAATGACACCTGCATGATTCCATTCAGATTCAAACCATACTGCTAACCATTCTCCGTGGAGATGGACACGTTTTATGTCATAATGTGGAATATTAAAGCCGGAGGAGCAACATCGAAGCCCTCCTCCAGGCCAACTAAGAATCAGCTATTTGAAATGTTTATGGCTCCCTAACACTGATTAAACAATTGTATACCTCGTGTACCCCTATCAATTTCTCAGGTGCAGGAGGTTGCCAAACCCTGCACGCTTCCATCCGACAGCTGCTCTGCTCTTATCTATTACAATCATCATTAATTTGTCAATAATAATCATATCCAGAAGCTGTCCTAAGTATACTACTTGTAGATTTCAATCAATTTCATACACAAAGAGGTAAAATATAAACTCTTCAAAGTGCAAAATGTGTGTTTAAACTAAAAAGGTTAAATCTGGTGTTGTGTGATGATTGCAGCACTGGGCCATTGTAAGAAAACATAAGACAAAACACTTTTTTCCAGGCATATTTAATTGGCACAGTAAACACAATACAAAGTATTCAGTGCTCTGAAACACAAGCATGGCTTACCAAATGGACACAAAGGAAAGTGCAAAGACACCATTTGGTAGACCGCACAAAAGAAAACAAGTCTTACTTTGCTAAGCAGATAAAGTATTGGTAAGACTCTCAATAGTTAAAATAGATGTTTCCTTTTAAAACTTTATATATTCATATATATATACTCTCTCTGGTTCCATTCCTCCATTTTCATTGTACAGAGTTATTCTGGAGTATAGATAAAGGGACATGGTCTTGTTGAGTAGCCTTCATATTTTGACCTATGTATTGTCATTATCAACCACTGCATGATATTGTGACATATTCATTGGTTGGTAAAAAGACAAATAGGAGACATTGAGCTTGATTCTATGGCACAGCAGGGGCTTGTTCGATCCTTCCAGGTGCTCAATATTTCACTTCCCACCTCTCCATCTTACAAGTGTTAATAGAACATGATGAAAACATTAATGGCTTAATCCAAAATACAAAACTTTGAAAATCTGACTTATATTATATAGGCAGTACGTTCTGGGCAAAAAAAAGATACATTTAAAAACAAAGAAAACTTAAAAAGTTGATTAAAATCTATGTGCCTTTGAGAAGAATCAGTGAACAAAATTTCACTAGTTTAGAAGAAATCACATTTTCCTTCCATGTACTGTATCTGCATTCTCTCAGTGATAAATTGTTTGTTATGGCTCTAAGAGCTCCATCTGGTCACTCCTGGAAACTGGAAATCACAGTATATTTTCATATACAGTAGAAAATAAATTTGTTGTGTTTAAACTGAGTGGCTACAAACGACTTGCATAAAACACCCTGATCATAACTTACAATATTAACATTTTACGTACATACCATTCTGAGTACTTAAAAGTAAAACAGAATACAGAGACATCCACTTATGCCTAAAACCTCACAGAAAACAACCTTGCAGAATAGGTGTAACACTGGAGGGAAAAAAGAACAGGGAAACATGCCATCTGAAACTAAACATGAAGTATTTCCACAGGCGCAGAACCAAAATCAGTGGTTTCCAGATTAATTTAAAACAGCTTGACGAGGCAATGAGAGTTAACGTAACAGAAAGAGCCAATACAGGCTGGGTTTGCCACAGCAGAGGGGCAAGGAGGAAGACAGGGCAAGCATGCAGCAAGTCACAATGCTGAAAGACCCCCTGCAAAATATATAGAAGTGTACAAGTAGCTACAATTGGTATGTAGCAGCTTGTGATGGGAGGGGTGAAAACAGGTAGGGGTCTAGTTATAGGTATAAAAGAAGAGGAGTGTGGTCAGAGAAACAGACAAGTGACACAAAATATGGGGTTCAATAGGAGTGGTGGACAATCTTCATATTCTCTTGTAACAATGGAACACACACACACCACAGACAGGCAAACATGATGTCCTACTGCAATGACATTTAACTGTATTCCATATGCTGTGTCCATACACTTAACAGGAAGATAGTAAACAACAAACGAGCACCAATCAGACACAACAATATGACCACCTAACTAAACATTAGTTATTTTTAAGCATTTAAATATATAAAATTGAAGCCTATGTTCTACCCAAACGTGGCATAATGAATGTCTATTAATAGCGTTATTCACCAGTGGTCATAATGTTATGCATAATTGGGGATTTGGAAATACCGTAAACACATTTAATGGCACTTTTAATTTAACCAAGTGTGATGACAATTCAAGTCACAATACAGATGACCAAACATACTGCAACTCTTTCTATGCAGCAAAGTAAGCCATTTAAAACAAAGATATACAATGTGGTATGAATAAAGCACATTTTGCAGTCAGATTAGCCCCAGCAACTAACAGAAGTATCTCAGGGTGCATAAGTATCCTAATGGTTGGAATGACTTTCTCACAAACACACTGCCAGGTGAAGGTGGTACATGAATTCTTTCTGTTGCTCATTATTATATCCATGCTGATCATTGTCCATTCTCCAACCACACCCTCTGTCCAGTGTGTGTGCAAAAAAGCAAAAGGTTTACGAAGGGAGAGGTGGTCAATTTGCAAGCAGTTAGTTCATTTAAAGCGAAGCAAAAAGCTAATTTTGTGCTTGTGAGAGCTGTTGATGTTAGGAATGAGAAAGATTGTTGTTCTCAGAAATTGTACTTTGTAGTTGATAATTTTGAAATGGTTAGACAAAACTGAAATTGTTTAAACTTTAGGTGTAGATGTTAGGTGCACTTTAAGTGAATTTGACGAAAGCTCTTGTTTTTCTCCAAGACTGCTTGCCCTGCCATTCCTCAGCCAACCTCACGCTGACTTCAAGGAATCTGCAATTCAAAAAGTACATAGAATTAGATAACTAGATGACCACAGTAAAACAAAAAAACAAAAAAAAATCTTGAACAAAATGTATTTTAATTAGAGTATGTTCATAAATTAAATTAAAAAATATAAATGTCAGCTGATTGCTACATGCTGAAAGTATTTGTAATGGGTAGCTTCACTCTTAAGAGTTACACAGCATGCAAGATATCATAAAAAGTTCCTACACAATGGGTATTTGTGCATCAAATATTATTCTGCACAACCAGAACCCCGTGCTGTGCCAGTTTTAAGCTCTCAAAACTGATTAGCATTTAAAGTCAGAAGTAAATTTGACTAATGGAATTTCCATAGATGACTTTCTCTGTATGTTTTTGTTACAGAGGTCGGACACACCATGCTTTATATTGTCCCACACTGGAAAGCTGTCCCAAGAGACCATGCAGTCAAGCACATGACCTGCTGCTACCAGCCCAGTCTCACCGTTTAACAGAACACTAACTTAGGTCTTTATTCCTTTACCAAAGGCCTGGAAGAAAGGACCAGAACAACTCTCAACTATCATTATTAGAAGTAAATACAGCAAGGGAAAAAATACATTTTTACATCTTAATCTATAACTGGTCTACAAATACTGTGTTCAAAGCCTTCTCGTTTTGTAATATAATGTGCATTTTACAGCATGCCACAGAAGGAAACTTTTTGTTAATATTTTTTTATTAATCTAAAAAAATATCTTTCTTTAGTGCTATTTACAGCGGGTTTAAAATGCATTTTCTATCTGCATGATTGTTCAGTACTGGCATGCATACTGGCTACAAGTGACCAAAACACAGTAGCTTATGTTTTGATCTATAGGATATAATTCAAAAAAGTGCATAAAAGTACCTACAAGAACTATGTAAAATGATCAAAGCAGAACTATTTGAGAGTGTATATAAAATCATAAATATTTACATTTTCTAAAGGGTTTGTGATATTCTATAAACACTAGGGGGCACTAGTAGTATGACTCCTAGCTCCACATGAAGAACAATCAAGTAGAAAATGTATACAATAATACTATCTCAATTGTCTCGAGGCACACAGACAAATATGATTGGCCCATTCCTCCAATAAAGCATTGGTTCTGAGCTAGCAGTAACATTCCTGGGAACAGACAAGTCAAGACTATTGCAACAAAAACAGACTTGCTCAGTTAAATGTATGTCATAGCACCTTTGGCATTCGTTTCCAAAAAGACCTCAATGTAGGTTGTGGGGACGTATCCTTCCTCCTCCTCATTCCTGCGCACTCGAGTCCAGCCGTCGCCTTTGTCTTGTTCTATGACATACAGGAGCTCCCCTTCTGCTATCGCTATAGTGCCCTCATTTTTACCTAAAACACAAAAAATGTATTTATTTTTTACATTAAACAGTTTAATGCACAAAGGAATTTGTAAATGTGGTTAGGAGTTAGGAAAGTTAAGAATCAGGAATAAACTGGAATACATTTGGTCACAGGCATGCAAGCAAGCATGATTAATAAAATTTTAATCACCACTGAGATTGAAACATTTCTAATTGTGATGGATATTCTTGCTTTTAGTAAAAGCCTGTTGTTTGAGCAGATTTTAGACTTTACTTTTTTGTGTTAAATGCCATCTTGTTTATGTTCATATTGCAATCACTCAGCCCTATATGCAAACGATGCTGTCCCTAACCCAAGTAAAACAAAAGTTGTAAATAAAAAAAATACAATGTTAATCGCATCGCTGTCCACAAAACCACCCATGCTCTTAAATTATATGTTTTTAAACATCAGTATTTCATATGTACCTTCAAAGGGGTATAGGGCTTTACAGGTGCCAATAGTGGGCAGGGTTTCTTCGTCATCAAACTCATCATCGTCGTCTGGTGTAGAGGACGTGGGGTTCAGGTTGGTGCTGGCTTTGACCTGAGTCTCTGAGTTCTGCTCCTCTGTGTAACTGCCATCCGGGCTGCTCAAGGGCCAATACACACACATAGTAAAACACGCTGTGAAAACATTCTCCTCTATGTCATGTTTAACTACTTTTTAACTTATAGCCAAGTAAAAAATACCATACCTCTCTCTATCTTGTGCACAGTTGTTGCTCACTGTTGTTGTGTTATTTTGTGTTTCATAAATGACACTTCTTCTGTTTGAATCGCTTTTGGAAGGCATTCTTTCTTCCACCTCTGCAAGCCAACCCTGTAACATCGAAACATGTGATATTAATTACATAAATGCTAATAATGCCTAAGAGCAGAGAGCTTTAGAATATTTACTCAAAAAAAGTAGGCCAAGATCCAGTGTATTTTTATAACATTGCTGATGTGTCCTGTTACTTTGTTGCTAATAAATGTGAGTATGTTTTCTTTTACACTGTGAATTTAAATGTTTGAAATTTATTGTTTACACAGTGTCTAATGCATCCTATTTAGTTCATGCCTTTGTTCTGACTTAGGTCTCTCTTCTGCACATATCCAAATATGGGAGAACTAGAGGCCGTCTTTGGACTGTTCCCAGTTCAAAATGTGAGCCTGAGTCTTTCCATTATTTACTGTCACAGCTAAACTAAACAACACAGCTTTTCCAGGAATAACACCACGAACCTCAAACTTCTGAACTTCAGACTGCAGTTTTTCAATGATCTGCCCAATTTCTGCTAGCCGTGGGTCTACGCTGGATGGGTCACCCATTTGGGGGTTCTTTACATAAACGTCTTTCATCTTCAGAAGTCCATCCCTGAATGAAGAAATTATTAATGTTAGTGTAAGGATGAGCCTGTAAAAAATTAAGTGAAGTGCCTTCAGCTAGCAATTAATTTTTTACACTGATATTTTAGATACCTCGCGTCCATCTCTTTCTGGATGTCCTTATTTATATCATCTATCTTTCCTTGCAATTTCTTTCTCCTCTGCTCAGGGGGGAGATGGCTGAAGTCCTCTGGCCCAGATCCCTGAGAAGACGAAGGGCAAAAGAGGAGGATAAATTTAAAAACAGATTCTCGTGATTAAATATTTATTATAATTTTTAATATGGACTATTTTGTACTTTTTACAGTATCTCCTCTTAGTTTGAGAATTTTGAGTTGTTCATACAAGTTTAATGCTTTATGAATGTTGTCAATTTTGGGAAGTGAAGAGGAAGATACTGAACTTTTTATTGCAAATCTGTTGACCTTAACCTAATCAGTTTAATTTATCCAACACCCCAAAATGCAGTATAAATGTAATAAAGGATAAGTTACAAATGTTTACTTTGGTAAATTGATACATAATGTGAAGAGTTTAAAGCTGTCTGTGTGTAAGTTGTATGTACTCAATAGGCAGCTCATATTTCATGATGTAGATGTTTCCAATCTGTAAGACTGAAGCCATGACTCACGTTGCTCTGCAGTCTGTTAACACTTTCTATAAACATACTGTATCACTGTTCTGGCCCGTGATGGCACCGCGCATCTGGGTGACCTAGAAAAACTGATGATGATGATGTTTATGTGAACTTCCTGAATAGGTCAAGGTTTACAATCTTAGTGATTGGGTCACAATTGCACCACGGGACACTGGTAGAGCTATTTCTGTTCAGGATTCACTGTACATACAGACAGCAGGTAGTGGTCTTACCCTTAATCCCATCATACAACACTTACCAGGCATGCAACATAGTAAAATATGTGAGTATTCATGCAGAACATGCTTTCTCGATCATAAACAGGAGCATCTCAATAAATCTGAATTGCATTGATCAATTCAAGTTGTATATTTCATTATAATTTACAAAATTGGCCAATAACAAAATAAGTATTGGCTGTACATTACAGCACTGTACTACCACAACTTTTTCTTAACTACTAAAATAATTTAAGCTTTTCTAAAATTAAATGTTAAGATGCACCTGTTTTTACATCTGAGGTATAAGCATATTAGAATGCTATCTATATTAATGTTCTAGCACTACTATTGCTAATTATTTTGTTTTCCTTTTATACAAAAATGTATACACTGTTTGATTTAGTAGTAACAGCATGCAATAGGACATCACGAGAGACCATCTCTTCTATCACCAATAATTGGATTAGTTTGTTTTTTTTTTTTTTTGCAGAGACAAACAATTTGAGACACGGACTACAAATATACTAAAAGACAAAACATAAAACATGGAGTATTTTTGATCACCTCAATGAGATTCCGGACGTGGGAATTGAGTGTGATCTGCACCACACAGACAGAAGGAGGGAGGGACATGACGAGAACACAACATAAAAAAACAAATAATAAAATGACAAAAACACACAGGTTTGAGATCCACCTCGCACAGTTTTAAAATGTAATTAACAAAAGCATAACGTCATACACTGTTACTGGGGAGGCGTGACATGCATGCTATGGTCATGCAGCTACAGAAGTGGGAGTTTACAGTCATGCTTACCAGCTTGAGAGAAAGCTTCATGGGGAAGAGGAGAAAGAAATGACGGGGAGCAGGAGAAAAAAAAGACAACAGACACAAGTCAAAAACATCAAGAGAATACAAGCATTCGTATAGAAACATACTGTAACTGATGATGATGGTATTTCATGTGCCAAACTTTGCCATCTATGCAATTTAAACACCAATATGACTGCAAAGTCTGGCACTATGATATTATAATGAAAAGTAATGGACGCCATGTTGGTTAAAGGGCCAAAGCATGAAGTAAAGAATGATAATAAAACTGCAGGAAAGGAAGTAGAGAAACATAAGAGTAAAATTAAATGAAGGACACTTTTTGAAGGACTATTTTCACTTCCTTTTGCAGTTAGAGCATTTACCTAAAGTGACAGCAGAGGGCGCTTGAGGTATGTAAGATATTACCAAGTCTTCACATGATCAGAGACAAATGGTCTACACATAAACAAAACAAAAACATATTTTCTGTAGGTCCAGCAGTACTGCATGAGCAGACTAATATGATGTAAATAAAAGCAGTCTTTGAGAGTTAAAGAGGAGAGATTAGTGCAAATTGTGGGCCTAAACTTAAAAACTTAAAGAAAATACTGCAATTATGGCAATAGGTGGGGAACATTAAACAGAGTAACTATATTTTGAGCATGTGTGTAAAATTCCTCAGTCGTCTAGGTAGAATCCATGGTAAAGGAGAAATTTAATTTGTCAACTGGACAACATTGTTTTTTGGTCAAATGTTTCGCAGTATAGCTTGGATGAGCTGGGAAAGGTATTTGACTAAAAAAACTTTTGCAGAGTTGACAAACTGAATTTCTCCTTTGCTATGATTTGAGCAAATACTGACAGATGAAACTCTCAAAGCTCACAAACTGGAGCAATGAATTGCACATCCAGATTCCCACCTGGAGGGATTTTGACATTAATTCACCTTTCCTCTGAAACTACTAGGACAATGATGACAACAATGATACCCACATGTATAGTATGTTTTTACAAACAAGAAAACAATATAACTTCGGAGGTGCAACAGCACAAAGAACATATCTTAAAAGGGGTAAATTCCTGCTATTGTTGGCCAAGTCTTATTTAACCGATTACAAAACACAAGAAATGCATCAATGAAAATAGGACACAGGGCTATTTCATAGTTTGGATGCAGAAACATGTAGATTTGACCATTGTCAGATACTTGAGCCTGTTTGTGAATTGACCCCTCAGAGATGTTTGCTGGAGAGGCCCTGACATGGACAGAACAAGCCGCAGGGAACCTTAAGCAGATACATGTGATGTGGGGTGGAATCATCATCATCTTCTATCATTCGTCTGATTTCTCCATCAGGCTGGAACATGTGATCAATACCAAGACAAACACACTAGCCTCCTTTGTATTTTTGACAAACATGCTCTTTAGAGGTGATTTGCCACTTAAAAACATGTCTTTTAAACACAATGAGGCTACTGTCTTTTATTCTTAGTAATGACACACAAAGTATGGGACACTGCGGTGTAGGCATACCCCAATGTCCACACGCACTTACAAAATATTGTCTGGCCTCAAAAGCATATGTTGGTTGCCCCAGAGTCCTCTTCATTAACTCTTTGTGATAAATGAGCGAGCGAGGTGATACTGGCTGTAGTAGTCATCAGAGAGAATACAGCTTAATCATAACTTAAAGTAACTACTATAAACTGTATATTCTTAATCTGTACCAGCAATAAAGCACTTTATCATAACTACAACACACAGAGCTGCACATACTAGTAAACAGTGCTTACAGATGCATATAGGACAAACAGTAATATATGTACTATGCAAGAACAAGACTTGGCATTGGTTTCTTTGGGAACAAAAGACAAATGTTTTAATTGGGCCTGGAGTATCATTAAACAAGTATTAATTACTCACAAATCTTTGTAACAGAGATGGGGAATATATCTGACAACACAGCATCTCTTTAGTGCCTAATGGTCTACTGAACCAGTATTGTCACACAAGGTCATATGATTTAGTGCCAAAAAAGCTTCACTCAGGTCAACTTCAATAGTGTGAATCTGAATATAGCAATGCACAAAGCATCTGATTCTACTGCTCATTTTATCTTTCTCTGCAAGAGCTGTTTCAGCACTTCCGTTTTCAGAACCATGCACTTCCTGTTCGATGTCCTACTCTAGAAAAACAAAAAGTTCTCTTTTTTGTCCTTCCTCCACACAGTATTGTTTACACTATTTACACTATTGCACTATATTGTTCCTATGTACAATTTTAATAAAAGTAACGGCTGCATTTTAAAAATTTTTATGTCAACATAAACTTCATTTGAAAAAGAATATATATACATATATATATATATATATATATATATATATATATATATATATACACACACACACACACCCACATATATATTAAGGACCGGAAGGAACCAGTGAGACGCCCACCTATTCCTGAGGTTAGAGAAAGCTGCTGAAGTGTGACAGGATGCAGGGCAATACAGACTGACCTGGCCTAGTTTTATCCTGAGCAGTAAGGCTGAGATCATTGATAATATATACATGTGGATAATATTTACACAATTACCTTACGGTATAAGTTGGCACCCTCATGTCACTGGTAAGCACAATTAGATAAAACCCTAATTAGTGTTAAAGGGGAGAGGGATGGTGATGGGATCTCACTAAGTTAAAATGAAGAATGAAGGAACAGGTTGCTGGTGAGTGAGATACTTGGACAATGAGTTGATATTATGTGCAACAGAAGCAAGCTATAAGCAAAACAGCAGAACAGTGTATGAGTGAAAGTTTGTAAATATATCAATAACACTATCTTTAAAGCACAGTACATATGTGCACTGATTATTAGGACAGCACAATATATGGATAGTAATTATACTGGATTTGCAAACTTGAAGGGAAACAAAATATTATCACGTTATTTTTTGACCAGAATTAAATTAAATTCTTGGTTTAGATCTGGATTAGTCCTGGGTTAGATTAATGATCATGATCAGGTCATGATTTAGACCTACTGAAATTTTTATTTAGTGGTGTTTGATTGTGCAGCCCTATGCCATGTCTAACCCAATAAACCTGTCCTGTAGTGATTCACCCATACACTGCCGCAGTTAATATGCAGCTTACACACAGGTGAGGAGACACATACAGAGCTGCTGTTGGGCACTTACCCCTCGCCTCAGGCTCCGTAGGCAGTGTATTTTGGGTTTGGACGTCATGAAGTCGTTGAGGCGATGGGACAGGGGCTCCTTGTGCTGCTTGGGAGACTGGGGGTCGTTGGGAACAGCAGAGGATGAGGGCGAGGATGTGGCTGGGGGTGCGGGTGGGGGCTGGCGGGGGGACGTTAACAGGGACAAAAGCTACCAATAAGAGAGGGAGCCATTGCGGAGGACAGGAGACAAAGGAGGTGTAGGAGGAAAAACATGGTAGTAAAGTAAAGGAGGTCAAACAACGAATAAAGACATAGAAGGAAAGGAGGGAACACAAAACGAAATAAATAAGCCTAGTACAGATATTCCAAAACAACACAACACACAAATTAATCCCAAACAGAACAAAGAAGTTATTAACCAACACAAAATATATATTAAAACAAATTAAAATATGTTAATGATACAGAGAGCGAGTAGGTAGGTAGCATCAGACCAGTTAAAGCAAGCTGCTGCAACAAAGCAATCTGCACACTTGAAGCGCATGCGGATCCAGTCTACAACTACTGAAAAGCTTTTCAGTAGTCACATGCGAGCGTGAATGAAAGTTCACCACGGCCTCACGAACACCATTGGCCATCATTGCTAAAAGTGAATTGCAATCCATCAACCTAATATTTGACCCACGGTCCGTCAAAAGAAGTCAAAGCCGTGCATGCATTTCCAGGACACTGAGAAGCACCCAAGACAGCCCATGTGTCTGTTCTATGTTAGCTTGCAACCTTCAATTACAGAACGACAGCTTGTCATACTGCATCAGTGGTTTTCAGCCTCTTCCCCACACCCAGCTCACTCATACATGCTCTGAGCCAACTGAACACCAGTGTATCCTGCGCTTCAGAAGCAAATAAACCCATCAATCTCCAGCATGTTAATCAAGGAAAACATTAAAAATCTGCCAAGATATTAGTGTATTATCTGCCTTCGTAGATTAAAAGTACAAAGGAAATAAAATATTAGTGAGTAGTCATTGCAGAAAGGTGGCTCCAAAATAAGGGGCTGCGAAATGCCAGTACATGACTGACAAAGGGACGTATATGGTGGCAAATAATAACAAGAAAATAGCAAATCTAAAAATGTAAGTTACACTAAAAGTAAACAGAAATAGACTAGAACTGAAAGCACAACTTAACTTATAAATTGTAACAATTTTAAAGGCAACAAAGGAACACTAATCAATTAACAGAGAATTTAAAACAAAACTTAAAAATTAATTCTTGTTTTAAAACTAATGTATAATCTTACCTTGTTCTTATTCTTTATAAAAGGCCACAGTTTGCCTTTGCTTTTGCCAGTAGATTTCTCTTTGACCTCTCTGGAATTGGATAGACTGTTTTCTGACACCGTCCTCTTCATGGCTTGTCCATAGTCTTCAAACTCTACATCTCCTGGAGGTTCAAACCCCGACTTGTATGACTCCACCACCTGATTTGAGTCCTGTTGGAATAAAAAATCACCACATATACATCACAAATGTAGTAAATGGAGAAAAGAAGTTGGGAAGAAAAGCAATGTTGTCTAGATTAAAATAGGCAATCATAAAATATTTTTGGTTCTGTTTCTGGTAAAGTATTAAGGTCAAGTCACACATAGAGGAACAGTAACATGAATCAAGAGTGGTGTGGAGAAGGAGGATGTGCTACGCTGACTTCAAGAGAGACAAAGAGTGTGCATACGCGGGAAAGCAGGGTATGTGATATGTTATAATGTTCTGTTTTTTGGGGGGTTTTTTTGTTTGTTTTTTTTCATTTGCACTTAGTCACAAGATCCAGTCATCTCTTGGAGCCAGGCCATACATACAGAAAGGCTCACGCACACTTACACACACTATGCACTCCTATCCCCTGGGATAGTCTTGTTTTTGTCACAGTGCAGGGCCCAATGTGATTTCTTTATATGTCAACACTGCCAATTTTCTCTTCACACAGACATCTGTGTGTAATTTTAGATGTTTAAGAAAGACTATTTGCTTGCTCAATTCACTGACTAACGCTCAGCCCTTTTTACTTGTTATTTACTATTAGAACATTCTTTGTAAATTAAGTTATATTTCCACAATATGGTGTGGGTTAAATGACATCCAAAGTGAGTAACATGTCCCTTGTGGTGATGTGTGTACTCACAGTCTTGGGCTCAACAGACTCTGCAGCTTTCGTCATGCCGTCTAAACACTTCTCCACAATGGGCAGCACCTGGCGGTCCACATCGGCAAATGTCTTCATGCACACTCCCAACTTCTCAATTCTTTTCTCCTCCATGTCTTGAAGTTTCTAAATGAATATTAGAAGGAATAAAACGGATCACAATTCAGTTGCCTGTACTGCTGCTGAAGTTCATAAACCATCATGTCTTGGTCTGTTTCAAAGAATCAGTGTCACTTTTCTAAGGTACCATGATATTTGTTTATTGTTTATGTTCCTCTAATATTTATGTACGTGTTAATAAGATTGGGGAGATGGATCATGTTTTATTCCATCTGTTTATATTTTGTTGAGACAAAAAGGGGGTTAAGTGAAGGTGTGTTCTATCTCTTCAGAAGGACATAGCTCCTATAAGAATACTTTAATGCAAAAATAGAAAAAAATATAAAATAAATTTGAAATTGTGGGGCCAAAATTGTGAACGGACAATTTATTCATTGCCTATTTAATAATACAGCTTTGTATTGTGCAATAATTCAAATTGTTATCCATGTTTAGTTTGTTTGTACCTGAAATATACTGGGTATGTGAGTGTAGTAATGGTCATTCTGCTCCTGGTTGAACTTCTGCAGGTAGGAGGAGTACTCGCTCTTGCTGTCCGCCGCCATCTGGTGTCTCATCTGAGCTTGCTGTCGTGCCTAATGGAAGAATACACATAACCATGCACATAACAGACAGGCTTACCCCAGTCAACCTGCAGTGTCCCCAGGTTAACGCGGACATATGGGTTAGGCGCACATACAAAGAGCTTAAACCGACTATTAGGAGCCACATCTGTGAGTACTTGTGCTCGGGCATGCACAAACTAACAGAAATATAAAGCTTGTGAATGTAGGTGCACTTTTCAATCAGCAGCCATTAGTATTAGCCTACACTAGACTATATAGGTCAGAACAAATGTGTCAGTGTGGCAAACAGCAACCAGCTCGACTCGAATGAAAAAGGATTTGATCGTCTCTCTGCTCCATTTTCATTTGTGCAGAATGATTGTTAGAGTTTTAGCCATGAGACACAGGCAGCCAGAGACACAGCAGGAGTAGCCTATTAAAACCAAGGGCGAGCAGATGGACATGAGATTATCTCTGTTAGACAACATGTGGGGACTGTGTACGTTCATTGTGCAAAGTGCAGTATCTGTTTCCTATTTGCAGAGGACATATGGACTGGCCACTCACTCCCATGAATATGATTTACTTATTTTCATAAAAGGTTACTTTCCAGTCAGTGCCTATAATCTTGATAACAATATATGCAAATAACCATAATAAAGGACACAGTATTATTAAGGGACAGTCTCTAACAGTTTTCCCAGGCATTCAATTGTCACACCAGTTTAATATGTCAGTATCACTCAGTCACACATGTGGTAAATTCATACATGGAGGAATAAAAGGAAAAGCAATCAGATGAGTCATTTCTAGCAAAAAGGAATAAGATATGTATTCTCACTGTATTATGAATAAATGTTTTAAAATATGTTCATTGATAGCACTGTGGGATTGCTGTTTAGAGACAGTGTTAGTGCAAGCAAATCCTCTCCTGAGTATGTGCTGGATCTGTTGAGAAATAATCACTATGGTAACCTGACTGGGTCTAAAATCACACCACTTCCTGTTGGTATATTCTGCAAATAACCCTATTGTTACTGTGGCTACTACTACAGAGAATGCTGGAAAATACTTCAATACATCTTATCATCAACAGATCTCCTGTCACTATCACCGTACAAATAAATGACTAAATAATAATTTGGCATACAACAAGTAGACAAGCCACTGAACGGAAGCAGTCCATGGTCAGACAGGACAGGCGTGTTAACAGTGACCTGGTCAAGGTTGCTGTGAGTTTGAGTCTGCAGGGTAGTGTGTGAATCACAACACAAGGCAGACAGTATGTTCCCACAGATAAAACACTTTGTCCACTGGGCCTACCTTGTGAGAACTTCGCTTCAGCGCATGCCATAAAATCATACAAACATACACGTCAAAAATGATGTTATCCATTTCCACCTAAACAAAATGTTTGTATGGAACCGTTTCCTGGACTCACAATGATGTCATAGCTAAAACTTTAAAAAGGCAGCAGTACCGAGAACAAACACAGATGGCACCAAATACAGTGCACTGGCCATTACAGTAACACAGTACAGTGTTTAAAAATGAAGAGGACCAATGAAACATGTAAATATTATACTGTTTACTAATATGCACACTAATATGCCATATTCCTATGAGATACAGGTACTTTCCCTGTTAAGGTTCAACACACAAATTTGTGGTTCTTTGGCAGTTTGATTGGGAAGTAAAGGCTCTTTATGGCTTCCTCCATTTGCATAATAATTACACCCGTGCCAAGTCCGAGCCTGAGATTTGATCCAAATACTGATGAGGCAGCATGCACTACTGACCAAAGAGGCTCTCCGGCTGTGTGAGCTGTGTGAGCAAAAGGTTCTTATGTTGAGGCTCATTTCAATTAGTCATGATAACAGGAAATTACATCTGCTACAGGCTACATATATAATATATGGTACATTTATGTATCAGAAAATGTGCTAATTACCAATGTAGAGCAGACTGTGAATGTCTTTGATGAAATCTTTGTTAGTACCTCAAAATTAAATATTTGAAGATTCTCTTAATCAGCTGGCCCAGATTTTTTTGATTATTTTTTATTTTTTTGGATTATTGTCTTTATTGTTAAAAATAAAAAAGACCATTAAAAGTCTATATATTAAGGTATATTTTTTGTGCTGTTGCCAGTTCCCAAACAGCAGCCCATGTGTCTGGTGCCTGTTTTACAGTGATAATGGGCACAATGTCTTGCTATCATCACTGCATAGCTCAGACAATACCAGCTTTGACTCACATCCACATGCTACACACTCTGCCTTTCAAACTCAGTGTAATGGCCTATCTGGCTAGAGGCATGAGGAGAGTTGCTGGTGAGTACAGTAGGTGAGGTGAACAGACAGATATTGGTGAGCAAAGATAAAGCTGTATTTTAAGCTTTGAGGCATATGTGAAATTTGTGAGAGGGCACATACCTTTTCAACATCAGCTTTAGTCACATTTATATCTGCGTCCATCTTCTCAAAGTGCTGTTGCGCCCTCTCTGCCTCTTTACAGTCCCTCTCAAAACGTTTTTTACACTAGAATGTAATAAAAAAAAAAATTGGCAAATAAAAACATATTAAATATTTAATAATAATGAAAGAGTTTTAATCTTCCATTGAGGACTCTCTATTTCTTTCACTATTTCATACCCACTTACAAAAGAAAACCACATGTACAGTTTTAGTATACACAATTACTTTCAGTTAATAATCGTTTTATCTTTTTACATCCTGCTAGTTGACCTTTTCAAAGTAATTCTAAAGGACGTCACAGCATTTATAAATATGTCAAAAAAGGTTAACACAGAAACCAATGCAAGGCTATGACTGCACAACAGGCACTGTATAAGTCAGCAGCCTGTGGATTAAACAAATGTTCATAGTAGGTTTTTGTATACATGGAAAAGACAACCATTCATTCGGCCTCTTTCGACCCTTCTAAATGAACAATCAGTGTTTGTTGGACAAGCATGCACTCTGAACTATGCTTGCCTTCCACACATACAAAAGAATCATTGAACATGCTGTGAAGTTGAGGAGGACAAGGCAGTTATGCTTCTCTCTTGACGTCCTGTCCAGTCAAAGGGGCTTGGTGGAGATGAGAAGCGGTGGACAGCACTTTATTTTGGTTCACATGAGATTTTGTAGCATTTTAGATCAGTTTTACTATTGTATGTATTTAGTGCCCGTATTTGCTGTGCTTCACATCAGGCTAACCCATAAACAGATATGCTGTAGGTTTATGGGTCAATAAATCTCTCGAGTGTTCAGCCCCTAATGACCTAGAATAGTAAACCTTGATTGAATGATGCTTTCATTCTGTGGGTCTTACATGCACTTAGCTACCCTGTTCACGATTATAGAAACATTGATGGGAATGGAAAATAAAATTTAAAAAATAAAATTGATTGAAAATACCCCAATTTTGTCACTTACTGCTTCCAGTTGTTTCCACGAACTTTCGATTTGCTGTTGTGCCTTACGGCCTTCATGAAAGTGCTGCAAGAAAAACACACACACACAAAAAAAAGTACATTTATAATGGATAAAAAATACCTTGTTCGGGTCTTACAATTCAGAAAAGAATATGGTGAAAAATACATTGAATCAACAAAATTACAATACATAATATCATTAGGGTTATCAGAAGCAAAATTTCAAACATGTAAACAAAGGCTGAACTAACTTAAATTATTATAGTCTCTAAGCAGCCTTTAAAAAACTCAATTTCAATTTAGTCTGCCCTGGTTCCAGATTGTGGAAGCCAGAGTCGATAGCTGAGCTGCATATCAATGTCCACTGCCTATTCACTCAAATTCAAACCAAGCATTGGTACAAAAGAGAGTCTTTGCTAGTACTGGGACATTTCAGCCCAATGGACAACATAAAAAGTCACACAAACTCACTCCAGGATGTGAAATTCAGGCTTTTGTGACCAATTCACTGACATTAGAATGGATGTGAGAGTATACGGTGTGAGACTATGGCCTGGTTTACCTCACTTATGTATACTTCTTGTTTCCATAAGTTTCTAGAGAAGCAACAAAAAATGGGAACTGTTTAGAGGAACTACACTTAACAGAGGGCAGGACAAGGGCTAGGTGGATCATTTGCACTTGACTTTATGCATGGTCAGTGTAGAAGTAAGCTCATCACCATAATGTATAATTAGGATAAAAAATATGAGTGTGTATGATTCAGTTTTGGTTAAAGCTGGGGAATTTCTTCTGTCAGCACTAGTACCAGTATTTTACATACAAATAAAATATATAACAGAAAAGGCAGGGGGAAAGCCTGTGGTGACTAACAGGAAGTCCAAATGAGCAAGCACTTGTAATATGAAAAGGCTGCAACACTCCTGTGTAAACGTAAATGAAATTTTGCATTTAGGATTCAAAAGGTACTACAAGTTGTTGCTATTTACAGGTCAGTGAGCCCATGCTGAATGTGAAATGAGCTCCAGTGTATCAGTCTCATTATAGATTCTAAGTACAATGATAAGACAGTCTGCTGACCAAACACCTAAATATGATTCCTCAGCATCCCTCTAGAGATAAGGCTCTTTGTCACTCAAGCACAACACACACACGGCAATGTTGTTAATCATTATTTGACACAATACAAGCTACGATGTAAATATTTATTATGAAATTGAGAATTCAAGAAGAAGAGTCTTTGTTTACATTAAGAATAAGATCTGGTTCTTCCTTTCTGGATAGATGTCTGTCTTTTAATTTACAATTAAACCTGGTGAATTTATGACTGGAATTAGTGCTTGCACTCAGATGCCACTTGTTTTTCACTAACCAGCATTCTGCAACATGTGGTGAAGCAGATTAGATTTATTTATTTGGGATTGGAACAAAGTAAGACACATTTTAGCAAATAATTATAATTCTTTGCTTAAAGAAGATTTGATAATTGATTTAGATTCCCTCAAGGTTTCAATTATGATTAAACTGCACTCAACCTGAGCAAGTCTTCGGCCACTCAGACACTCAGAGCATGACTTGCATAATCTGTTATTCAGTCTCTTGAATCTGACTATGTTCTTGATCTCAAATCTTGTCTTAAACTAACCGCAGCTTTAGACTGACTTCAGCTCAGGAAATAGCTAAAAGGGAGGTGCATAGTTATACCAATCCACTGGGAATGTAAATTATTTCTGGTCTCAGGTCCACAATGTACCTGTCTGAATAGTTTCTTATGTCTCAGAACTTTCAGTAATCCTGTTGTCTGCTTCTGTCTGTACACTTTTTTTCACACATATCTCAAAGATCACACAACAAAATGTAAGTGGTACCTTCAAACACATGTAAAAGCAAAAGTATGGGACCTATGCTTCACCTCTTCCACAGTACCCCATCCCAGGTCTAGACATTATCTAGATTCTAGAAAACAAACAAGGAAAAATTTGGACACCTGTGTGTTATGCTGCTTTTCTCTTTTTGAAGTTGCTTTTCCTGCACTTTGAATTACTTTGTGTATGAATTGTGCTATACAAATAAACTTGCCTTGCCAGCTTGCCTTGCCTTTGCACCTCAAGAAATACATGCGTTACTGCTTTGTTTGAATAAAAAGATGAGCCAGTCGGGCATGCTTTTAGGTGCTAATTCAAAGAAGTCCTCTAGTAATAACAAAAGTCTTACCCCTTTCCGTTCACTTTTGAGTTCTTGTAGGGACTTTGACAGCTCATTAATGATTTGCGTTGTAAGGTTTTCCGCTATAAGCTCATGCTGACCTGCGTAGTCATTCAGTTCACTAAGTGTTTGTTGGAAGGCTCGACAGAAGGTATACCTGGTGACAAAAGACAGAGATGTCAAAATATAAATTGCTGTCAGGTGTAAACACACATAACAATACTTACTTGCTCTCTTCCTCTTCCCGCGAGTTCTTCTTGGGTTGATACTTCTTTGATAAATTTCTGTAAAAACAAAGGCATAGTCTCAGATCTTAAAATATAGTTTGTGGGATATTCCTATTGAACATTCCCAGCTCATATTGCTCCATAAACCTGACAAACTATCATCCATAACAACATTCAATTGGGCAGAGTGCTGTCAGTCTTACTTAGGCTATAGTAGTATATCAATAACCTCTAGTATGTGTCCAGTGTCAGTCACCAAAAAGGACACATGCATTTTTAGTGCTGCTACTGTTGTTTTGATGCAAGTAGGTCTTCAGGTTCATAATATTTGTGAAAGCATTCTGTTGATAACTGAATTTAATTAATATTTGATATTATTGAACTGAATTGATGATAGCGCTTCAGGTTTGTATTTGTGAAAGTATTCTGTTGATAATTGAATTCATCTCTGTTTCAGTGTTTTTGCCACATCATCTTGAAACAAAAAAACCCTAATTAGACATTGACAGTTAGTTTCGGGGCCGATGCTGTTATTGTTTAGAATCCATAGAAACCAATATGTTAGGCTGATACGTTGGGTCGATTTTGATTATTTTTCCCAAATTATGTGATTCAAATTTACTAGAAATTCACCCACAGCTCTTCTTTACCTTCTTGCGTGTAGTCATGTTTTGTGCAGCTATTTCTTCGTATTAAAGTTAGGTTCATTTATTTGCCATTTGTAGTTAAAAAGCACATTAGAAAAACATGTGCAGAAAGGAAAAGTTTTAATATAAAGGTTTGTTTGTGTGTATTTTTTAGGCAGCAGATTAACTAAAACAAAATATCAGACTATACTGGAGATTTAAGGCCGACATTTGGACTAAATGTGCAATTACTAAAATTTTGTGCATTACAATTTTACAATCTAATGAAAGATATGGTTTGAACTTTGTTAGAAATGTGTTATGTGAATATGTGCAATATGATTATGTGTAATCCATAAACATATTTAAGCAGACTACAAAATATGTACTTCTATTTTGCATATGTTAAATCCAAATGTAAATCACCATACATTTGACTTCACTGATGTTTACATTAGTAGATCAGATGTTGATTAGAAAGACCATGCAGTTCAAGAAATATACTTGAAATACTGTTAATCTTTTGAGTAAACCTTAAGCATAAAATCAATATCTAGTTAAAATAATTCTGAATAAAGAGTTACTCCATACAACATTTTGTGGTATGGAAATATTTAAATTCATACACAGTCGAGGTGAAATCTTGACAGCAACATGTGAAAACCAACATATTAAGCAAACATGAAAGTGTTGTTAAGGCTGAATTTCCATTGAAATGAAAAATACATGTGTAAAGAAAATATGTGTTTAATAAAATGTGATGTGTCTTTGTCTCTCAGTATGGCCACATCCCCCACATCTCTCCTTCTCTCTCTCGTGCTGTTTGCACTGTTGCTAGGCAGATCTGTCACTACACTGCTCTGCTCGTCCTTCGCTCCCTGGCTCTAATTATAGTGCTTACACTCATTCATTCATTTATCGCAACCATATGCCATTTGTCACAATGTATTTTGTCACTGCTTCACATCGACAACAAATTGAACCAATATGTTACAATTATAATGGATTAATAAATAATAACAATAACTAGCACATTGTATAGTATTAATATGAAGTGTGTACAAACTCATGCTTATAAATCTGAATTGTACCGAACTATCACATTACCATTGTTATGCAAGTCTAATACAGTCTCTTTTGTTTACTGAGTTTTGCTCCTGCCGATATGGATTATGCTAGACTAGAATTTGGGGGAGGAGTTGGAATTAATGCAATGGCTAGCACTGACTAGACTGGGGCATTGTGCATTACAGCATTGCAATGGAAGAGGATTATTTGTGGATTAAACTTGTGTGTTAATGTAATGTGTTGTGGTATGTTGAAAGAAGCGGTTGAAGTGTCATGATGACCACAGACGTGTAATGAATACTATGTCCATATAGAGAAATGTCTATTGTAATTTCTGGGAATTATTCTCAAGGTAAAGATTCATTACATTTGCAGTTAGTTAATCATCTGCGCTAATACATATACAATGATTCTAGTAAATAAAATAAAATAAATATGGCAATGGTATTATAGCTGATCAAAGAAGTAGCATAGTGGTATTAGTTGATTAGCTCCATCAACCTTATGGTGCTTCTACTTGGAGGCAGTCCAATAGATTAAGCTTGATTTGTGTGCTAAGTTGATTACACAGGATAATTGGTCTTTAGGTGTGGTATTGCCAACTAGGACCAAAACAAAGGAGTATAGTGTGCAGCAAAATGCTAAAAAACCCTATGACTCAAGCTATCCTGATTTCCTCACTTCTGCCTCATCAAGCGAGTGTGTTGATGTGCATGTGTCTGTCTGCTAACAGGGCACGTTCCAACTGCCACTAAACAAGGAAGATGACTGAAAATGTCCACGTCATCTGCCTATGCACAAGTTTAATCAAAATGCAACCCACTGCTGGGATTATCTGCCTGAAATTTTTTGAACTGATGTTGATCAAAACAACCATTCTAACAATTAATAAATGAGTTGCAATATCCCTGCAATGTCAAACTAAAAACTTCTAATCAATGTTTTGGTCTTTCACCAGAGAGAACACTGTTAAAAGGAGCCTGAGCTTGGCTCCAGCATATTATTTTCACTGTGTATCCAGTCCTAAAAATGTAAACCTCTCCAATTTTCAGCATACAAGTCACTAGTCATGTGAATTACACATTAAGATAAAATGATGTAGTAGTATTTTAAGTTTTCACATTGTTGGGCTGCCCTAATTGATTTTAGCAATGGCCCACAAAAGAATACACTATAATAAAAGCATGAGTAAGGTCAAGCATGAATAAGTTCAGAGGGTTATGTGGAACAGACTGTAAACACTCACATAGTCCTATTATCTCAAGCTGATACTAGTCCCAGAAGGGGGGAGGGGTGTGGGGTGAGATCAATAGTTTCTATGGAAATACTGGATTAGTTTTGGTTGGTCATACAAAACTGGGGGTTAGTCAGTATTGGGCAGTACAGCTATTCTCTCCACATGAAATAAGGAGTGGAGTTTCTAAGTAAATGCACAAAGCCTGGGGAGGTAGATGTTCACAGTGCACATGCTCCAACCTCTGCCCTAAGTAAGCAATGTGTGTACAACAACAGTCTGAGGGGGAAAGAAATGAGTCGGATAGAGCAAAATCTGGGTCAGACCTGCGGTTGATAAAGCCCATACCTACAAGTCTCTATGGCAACACAAGCTCCACCTCTTTCCCCTTCACCCTCACTTCCTTTCGCCTGAAGCTCCAGCTAGCAACAGCAGCAGACAACGTGCAGCATGAAAGTACTTGAGACGCAGACACAAAAGGAGTCAGGGGTGAGGGGGTGGAACATCCTCTTCGGGTCAAATGGATGCATTCAAGCTCTTCTAGCTAAATGCTAAATGCTGCTTCTTGAGAGAAAGCATACAAAAAACTTCCAATGCATTCTTTTGTGACAGAATGCAGAGCAAACTGTGTCTCTAGTTTATGGGAATACTCTCATCTCAATTTCCCACTCCACAAAGAGGTCAGAGGTCTCAGTCAGTTTCATAAGATGAATCTCTTGTTTCAAGGACACTTGAGTAGGTCAATTGCTGTGGTTTCTCTCTTGAGCCATCTGGATGAACTTGGCTAATTACACCACAGAGCTGCACACATGCATCATAAGGCTGTGTATTGTGGGTACTTACCTAATTTGTTTTGCATAGCTGACTTCAATCTCTGATCTCTCCTTAACAAATTTGGTGTACTTCTCGACGAACTCAATGCCCCACTGTGTGTGCTTCTCCAAGTTGTCAAACTGATCCTGTGGGGACAAAATTGAAAATCAATCACAAGCTCCACATATTGGGGGCAGTTATTGACTAGCCTACAAACATTACATTATCAATAATGTGCTCCCAGCTATTCAAAATTACTTGGGTTTTTATGGTCTCTGTTGGAGGCAAGACTCAATATCAAATTCAGCATACTGAAAAACAAATACAACTGTGTATGCGCAACTCAATATTTAGGATTTAACAATGCGTTCACATGGATAATA